GTTGCCACAGGCCGGGAAACCCGGGAAATACTAGGGAAAATGACGAAAATGTCAGGAAAAAATTGCAGGGACACCATTATTTGCTGTCCAGAATGGATTCGATGTTTTGAACAACAAATTCTGCCTAAAAACTATTTCTAATAATGTCTTGTTAATCATCTGGCGTACATTCAATTGTCAGGAAATTTCACCAAAACGTGTCAGGGAAATCAGGGAAATGTTTTTGCAAAATGGAATCCATCTAACCCACGACGCTCAGCTAAGCGAGAAAACTGGTAGGGTGATGAGAGCACAAGAACAGGAAAAGACCAGCGCGGAATATGCTGAGAAGGCGTTGGACATGGGAACACGGGAATCGTCCGTTCGTCTCGTATAGGGCTCCGCGCGATTTTAGAGAAAACTGCTGTCGTCGGGGTTTTTTTCCCCCTGAAAACGAAGAGAATTTCAAGAACAACGGTCGCATTTAAGCAGTGGCGGTCTATTTCGAGTGCGATTTGCATGTCTCATGATTTGCAGTCGAGCCCATTCGGATTGTTGCCGAATCGATCGATGGAGTGATCGTTGCACCTTTTCCGCTGCGGTTATCTTTAAGATCGATACACCATAATCAGGGTTGCCACAGTCAGGGAAAACTAGGAAATGTCAGGGAAAATTTGTCATATCACCCTCATTTGCTTTCTAGAATAGGTTTGCGATTTTGAATAAGAAATTTTGCTAGAAAACTATTTTCAATTTTGCCCTCTTAACCATCCGTCTTATCTTCAAATGTCAGGGAATGCCACCAAAATGTGTCAGGGAATTTAATTATCTAAATTCTGTGGCAACCCTGTAAAATACGCAACCCTCTAGGGGGGTGAGGGATATAGGATAGCGTTACGTCATTTTGATTTTTAATTGGTAAGATCTGAGTCATAAGCGAGTCATGAAGGGGCAGTGGAGAGGAGGAAAATAAATCCGAAATTTTGTGTTGCGTAGTGCATAAGCGACGTCTAAAAGTACAATTCAAGTAAACTTTAACGCTTTTTGTGTCCTCTTGATTTGAAGTATGTAATTGTATTTTTAGGATCCTTTTTCAGAGTGACAATTACCTGAAAAGTCAGGGGAAACCTGGAAAAGCCAGGCGAAATTAAAAAAAAACCCAGGCAAAACCTCATGACACGAATTTTGTCTCTCCAATCCTCTTGCAAATTTTAGTCTAATCACAAATGATTTTGGAAGTGCAACAACGCCCCCCCCCACCCACCTGCACGTACCATCGATTTCAAGCGGATCGGTCTTCACCCAAATCAGCGGACTGACTATTGAAATTGATGGACAAAGCGATAGACGCAGAAGACATAGGGAGTATGCATCGATCCTATTGGTTGAAATGGGTGGTTCTTACAGAGCAAGGGATTAAATGATGGACTAACTGTTGAGTCTTTCGTGAAATTCCGTTATTAGTTAGTCCATTACCTACCTCATTTGTCCATTGCCACCACCCACTTCCACCAATAGGATCCCTCCAAATCCCTTTTGTCGTCTTCGTCTATAGCTTTGTCTATCAGTTTCAATAATCGGCCGGCAGGGCGACTGATGCGACCACGTTTTTGGCGGGAAAACCTGCGGCTTGTAGGTCAGGAAAGGGCTCATACTCTCGCCCCGCAATAAATCCTTAGTCGTATACCTATTTTCGCGGCTCCAGTGGTAGCTGTGGGTGGTTCCGACTTGGCAACCGTCAGACAGGCATGTAATGGTGTAACGCGTAGAATAAGGCGAGACTGAAGCAATTCCTGTTTAGAATGGGCGTTTCTCGAGTTCCTAACCTGTTCCATCGCTCCGGCCGTAAATTTTGTGAGCGCACTTAGTGCTGCAGCTGACTCACAGAGGGCGCTAGCTGTTACGGAAATGTTCCAAATTACTTACATAACCTTTCAACGAGGAGCCCACGACATTTACATTGGGTGGTTCTATTATTGTTTTCTTTCGGTATTCCTTTTTTCAATTATTGGATTATTATTGTCAGCGAGTCGTATGAGTAGCCTTGGAGTAGTACCTCTATATCCATTTTTTGCTCGAATTCTCCAGTTTTTTCCAGTTAGTTACCTGTATAATATGCAATAAGTATCATAGTCATCTACCTATTCAAAGACAATTGAGGCATTGGGTGCAAAAAAGGCATTTCTTGGTTGAGGTGTCTTAGAATCGCCAGTGCTAATTTTTATTTTAGAGAGGAAATTATCAGGTAAATTTCTGCCATTTTTCGTGTTCAGCTCTGTGAAATCCTGCAGAATATTCAGCAAAAGTTACAATTAATTACATATATTTGCTTCGATGATAATGGATGAAACGTAAGCGGAGATTTTGAGACACTGCAACCAAGAAATGCCATTTGTGCACCCAGCGCTTCAATTTGTGTCACCCCTTTTTACCATGATGCAAAATGTTCAAAATATTGGCGTGGTATCAAAATATCATTAAAATGATACTATGTAATCGAAATTTGGTATTTTGGTTCATGAACTCAGAGACTTGATGAGTTGGGGATTAAAAACTCCTAATGTATTGTAGCCCTAGAAAGTCCACATTTTTTGATGCTCCGCCGTCAACACGCTCGCTATTGTGTTTCCTGCTACGTGCCATGATCCTACCAAGTGACCAAAAGTTTTTTTTTAAAAAAAAGGGATTTCCTGCTTTTTTCCCTCTCAAATCAACGATTGCACGTAGTACACGTGCTAGGTATCACCATTTTTTCACTCAGTTTTAATTTTCTCCCCCCGAAAATTGGAATTTGCGTTTTTTAGCCTGCGCAGGATACCACAAATTCGTTCAATCGCAGGAACATAGTTTTTGAGGACCGTCGCTTTTTGCGCCCCTTTTTCTAAGTGAGAAACTCTTCATCAGGTTATCATTGGCAGATTTCGGTCAGCTCTAAAACTACTTCATTTTTAGAGTGTTCAATTCTAGTACATCCAAAGAAAAAAATGCTAAGTATTCAAGTGCTACTGTCATTTAGGCTCTTTATTGATTGTAAGGTTACAATCATGCATTGTAATTATTTTCGAATCATGAGAATAAATGACTCCGATCAGTGTTTTTCTCCTCTCCTCCCGCGAGAGTAAGGTCGTTTTTTATCCAAACGCTTGAATTTGACGTCGATCAGCGTTTTCTCGTTCTTTTCCCGAGGCTTGGGTCGTTTTTGATCCAAACGATTGAATTGGACTCCGAATGGTTTTTTTCAGTGAGACCTGGGTCGTTTCGATCCTAACGTTTGAGTTTGCCTCCGATCAGTGTTTAGTAGTGAGACCTGGGTCGGTTTTGATCCTAACGATTGAATTTGACTCCGATCAGTGTTTTTTCAGTGAGACCTGGGTCGCTTTTGATCCGAACGATCGAATATGACTCCGATCAGTGTATTTTCTCTCGTTTCCCGGATACTTGGGTCGTTTTTGATCCGAACAATGATCAGCATTTTCCTGAGACTTGGGTCGTTTTTAATTCGAACGATTTTTGACGTCGACTAGCGTTTTCTTGTAATTTTCCTGAATTACTAGGAGCGGTAGCGACCCCATCAAGCCTATAGAGATCTCAAACAACGAAAATGGGAGCCGCTACTGTATTTTATTACCCGAACGATTGAATTCAGCTCCGATTAGTGTTTTTCTCGTCGCCCTGAGACATAGGTCATTTTTGACCCAAGGGATTAAATTTTTCATCGCTTAACGATCAACCAAAAGACCTTCACCGCACGAAACGTTTAGTTCCATCGGCGTCCGACCGAGAGGCCGGGGGCGCCACCGCCGCCCATTGTTTCGGAGGCGTCGGTCCCGAGCCGACGGGGGAGAAAAAGGCAGGCGAAAAAGGCGCGATGCTACCGCGAGAGATATGGATACAGAGCGACACAAAGCCATTCCATTTGCCGAATTTATAATTATCGAGTGAGCCGAGGCACAATGGCAAGCGCCAGCGTTATATCCTCGCTGGCCGCCCGATCCAACAGCATCTTACCGGCCCGGCCGCCCATTGCCGCAGCCCGGCTGTGTAGGTAGCAACTGGCATACGAATGTTTCCCCTCTCGCGACGGCGCCAAGTCGATATCCTCTCTTTGTTCGATTTTTGGCGTTTTTGGTGTTTTTTTCGGTCATTTTGGGGTTCCACCACATTCTAAATGTACGTTTTTTAGGTTTTGGTGGTGAAATTAAGAGGTGGATCTTTAGGAGGGTGCGAAAGGGGGGTGTGCGGACGCTCGGGAGATTTGGCGGCGGTGTCGCGAGGGCGCCAAGTCGATATCCTCTCTTTGTTCGATTTTTGGTATTTTTGGGGATTTTTGCGGTCGTTTTGGGGTTCCACCACATTCAAAATGTACGTTTTTTAGGTTAAAGGGTTGAAGTTGATAGGTGGATTTTTAGGGGGGTGCGAAAGGGGGTGTGTTGACGCTTGGGAGATTTGGCGGCGGTGTCGCGAAGGCCCCAGGGCTGTAGCCAAGCCTGGGAATTCTCGTTCCTTTATATTGACCGGCTTCGGCGCCCCTCCCCCCTGTTTCCCCTCGCGCCTCGCTGGAGGGGAGGGACTCGAGCGTATCCAACCCGGTCGTTTTTCGTTTCTTTCTACCGCGCGGCGCACAGTGGATCGAGTCTATAGGAAGGGTCGGACAAAATTTGGAAATTTTAAACGCCTACAACTCCGTTTATTCAACATTTTGAGGTTCTAAAAGTGGTTTCATTGGTTTCCTCGTGAAATTTTCTTTGAGAAGCACCCCTTGAATTGTAAAATGTGCCGAAACAAACACCAAAATTTGCAGTTTTAGTTAAAAATGTCATGTCCGACCTCTCGAATTGACTCAATCCACTGTGCGGCGCTCTCCCGCTCCTCTCGCTCGCGCTCTCTCGGCGCGGTTTTTTCTCCCGAGTTTTTTAGCGGCCGCGGCTCGGTTCCCGGGCCGGCCGCTCGGAGCGCTAGCGTCGCAGCCCGAGACGCAGTATCCTCGGCGGTTCCTCGCCCGCGGTCCCCAATCTCGACGACTCGGTCTTGGCAGGACTACTCGAGCCGCGCTCCTCGCAGACGTGCAATATCGTGAACCTCTCGTGCAATCCCCCGTTGTTGTGTTTGAATCGTTCGGATCTCGGTTTCGGGTGTTGTTACTGTGTTGTGCGAGGTTTTGTTTCCCGGGCGTCGCGCGGAGTGACCTCGAGTGGTGTTCGCCCCCTTCGGATTGTTTGGCCTTGTGCGTTCGGTTTCCTTTGTTGAAGCCCGAGCCAAGACGGCCGGGAGAGCGAGAGAGAGGCAGCGCCTCCTCGCCCCCTCCCCTCGTGCGGATTCTCGCGGTGCGCGCGGCGTCTCCCCCCGCGGCCCCTACGGCGGCCATCCTGTCTCTGTCGCTCCGGCTCCGCGCAGCAGATCACGCCGGAAAATCCCGTCGGAATTTCTCCAGTTTCCCGCGACGCCCGCCATGGTGGTAGTGTGAACCCTCTCCAAGTTACCCTCTCGTTCCTCGATCCTTTTGTTTTTGTTTTCGGGTGTGTTGGTGGATGGTGTGAGCGTGCCCGCGAGTGTCTCCCAAATGATACGGCGCGCCAGGCGCGTTTGATCCCCCGTTCGACCCCCGAGTGATGTCAGACCAGCGCGGGATGTGGGGAAATTCGCGGCCCGAAGACAGCAACGTCAACGCCTGGTGGCAGAACAGCTCGGACGCCAATGCGACAACCCAGCAGCTCCTGGCTGCCCACCAGCAGCAACTGGTGGCGGCCCACCAGCAGGCCCAGGTGGCCCAGAGCACCGCGGCGGCGGCCCACCAGTTGTTCTCGTACAAGATGGCCACGAGTTTTAACAACTCGGCGCCCCAGACGACGGTGTCGTCGTCCATGTCCCCCCAGAACTACTACCGGAATCTTCAGGCCGGCAACGCCAGGCACGACGACGGCGGGATCACGGCCAGCCAGGCCGCCGTCGCCGCCGGCTGGTGGTACAACCCTAGTTTACAGAACAATATGGCCAATATGCAGAATTTCCAGCAGGCGCAGAATTCACATTCGTTACTGGTATGCATCAACTCCGCCTTATCACTAGTTGTTAGCTAGACGTACCAGCGTGGGCTGTGGAAACGCAGCCCGGAGATCGGACTGTCCTCAAGGCAGAATTTAGGTTAGGTTTGGGACTGATATGATTGGAATCAGGTGAACCAAGGTTGCCACAGTCAGGGAATACCGGGAAATGTCCGGGAATTTTATAAAGTCAGGGAAAATGACAATAATGTCCGGGAAAAACGTCAAATTACCGACAGTTGCTTTCTAGAGTGGATTCCCCAGTGAAAGCATTTCTACTAGGGTTTCACGTTTTGAACGACAAACTTTGCCTGAAAACTATCTCTGACTTTGCCTGAAAACTATCTCTGACTATGTCTTTTTACATTCTGGCATTTGTTCAACTGTCAGGGAATTCCACCTAAATGTGTCAGGGAATTTCAATTTCCAATTTCTGTGACAACCCTGGACTAATAGAGCGTTCTAGCTTCCTACTGGCTTCGTGGGCTTAAATCTGAGCTCCAAGTATCCTTAGAACGAAGCATGCCATTAGATTCAAGCTGAAGTCATTCCAATTTTTTTCACTAAGCAATAAACGGCCAGGCGGTAGAGACAACAGTAAAAAGTATAGACCAAACAAAAAACGACTTTGAAAATCGAAGGAATTTTGTCATAAATACTCCTAAATGGTCTCAATGCCAGACCTATTAGGGTTCTCTTCTTTTGAAAATGAAGAGTAAGTTCACAAAAAAACGTGAGAAAATTATTACACAGGGATCTTTGACCCTGAAAATGTCTTGAACCCTGTTTTTAAATGCTATCAGCTGATAAGTCTTAATGTAAAATAAACCTAAGAGTATGAAAGAACCTAAAGGGTTGCCCACTGGCAACAGAATCTTCAACTGTCAAACTTGCCCGGGAGTAGGAGCTGACCTGAGAACTTAAAATCAAACATTTATGTTTCTGCTTCTGCCAATTGTCAAATTTCTAGTCAATTCGACTTCCAATTCTAGTTTTCTGCGTAACATGTGAACACTCTACCATCAGCCATGTGTCATACACAGATGCTGAAGTTAATGGATGTCAGGGCACGGTGCTCTGTAGGTCAGTGATCTGGTCAGTCTCTCTTAATATAGTCATATCTTCGTTTTTCCACCTCATTGAATCAGTATGTGTGAAATTCGGAGATCATGATAGTGCAGACTCAGCTTGTGTCATTTGGCTAATTGGAGCGGCTTTATGACCCATAAATGAGTCCTTTAATGACCCATCAATTTTCCACTACACTGAGACATGGAGTAATTGTTTAACTATTTTTCAAGTACAATTTATTACTTTGTTGTCTGTTTCCGGAGTGTTAGAATGAGTTGGCTCCAAAAGTGAGATAACTTTTGACATTGGCGGTCCGCTTTGATTCCGCGTCGAAGGATTAGCTGATTGTGAGTAATGAAAAGATCGATAGCTTTTCTTTGACTCGAACATCAAAATGTCGGTCATGAGGTATCGTCGGAAAAAAGCTCCACACTCAAACTCGAGACGGTAGATACAACAGTAAAAAGTATAGACCAAACAAAAAACGACTTTGAAAATCGCAGGAGTTTGTCGTAAATACTCACTCCTAAATGGTCTCAATGCCAGACCTATTTGGGATCTTTCTTTTGAAAATGAAGAGTAAGTTCACAAAAAAACGTGAGCATTCGAGAGTTGTCAAGTTTACTCCGATAAAACGTTTATTTTTTAGGAAAATTATCGATATTTTTCCTTGAAATTTTCAGACACTTTAGATCAAATTGAGGAGCTTTCCGGAAAAAGGGCACGTAGCAAAAAAAGCGTTTGAGAAAAATGCATTTTAAGTTTCCATCATTAATTTCTGGCCACTGATCGTACCTTTCATCGCAGCTTGGACTCCCGATTTCGAACGAAAGTCACTGTCAGTGGCCATAGAGAAATGATCAAAACTTCAAATCCATTTCTCTCAAACGCAATTTTTTGCCACGTGCCCTTTTTCCGGAAAGCTCCTCAATTGCGAACAAAATTATCCGAGAAATTGGAAGGAAAATATGCACTAATGTCCTTGAAAATTAGTGATTTGTCAAAGGAAATTTGGCAACGCCTGAAGGCTCATACGGCGTTTTTCCTCAGCTCGGCAGCGCAGACTCCTCGACCTCCGCTTTCAGTCTGCCGTGCTAAGGAAGAACGCCGTATGAACATTCGAGAGTTGCCTAATTTCCCTTTATAAAACGTGTATTTTTGACAACACTTGTGCATTTTTTCCGTCGAAATTTTCCGATATTTTAGATATAATGGAGAATTTGCAAGGGTCTGAAATTTGATGAATTTCCTGTTTAAGTGGAATCCTCTGAGTGAACTGAACACGAAGATACCCTTGATTCATAAATCGAGCAATTATTAGAGGAGATATGACAAAATAACCGATTCTGCTAAAATACATGTGTTTAAATGGGAAATGCCGCCAGATGACGTCACAAGGCGGCACATTTTCTCACTTTTAAATCAATTTTTCTCCAATTTCCCGTGTCAGAAAAAAATTATGAAAAATATTGCGAACTCAGCTCATTAGGCACTTTCAGATGAAGCAATAAAAAAATTGCGTGCAAATTCTCCATTGCGTACAAAATTGTCTGAAAATTTTGGAAAATAATATTCACAATTTCCCCAGTAAATTCGGTTTCTATCGGAGGAAACTTGGCAACGTCCACATGCTCATACGGCGTTCTTCCTTAGCACGGCAGTGTTTGCCTCGAACGCTTTTCCTTTCTTTCTTTCCCTCATCGATCGATCGAGAGCAGAAGTACTCAACTTCACGGTCGCGGCATTAAAACGCGATGACGATGGACTCCGGAATGTGATTTTCGACGGAGGGGCAGCCGTGATCGGCAGTATTCGTCAACACGTGAAACTACAATGGACCACTAGACAAGGTACGAATTTCAGCAGTCTGATACATGTTTCTTAACTATAATTTCACGTAGAACACGATGCGCTCATCAAAAATTACCGCAATTAACTCCTTACGAAGATATTTAACGATTCTTGATGTGTGAATTCAAACCAACCGCTCATGAAAACTCAATGCTCTGCGTGATTCACATCGCGCGCTAAACGTTTATCATGACAGTCTCTTGCGATATAAGAATCTGGCAACCTCTAGCTTGACGCTTTGGCTCAGTTATAGCAAATTGCTAATAGTTTGAACAACACATGGTGGGAAATGAACATTGCTCGATTGAGAAGCTTGCTGAAACCGTTGTAGTGCGCGATTTGACTCACGTAGAGCTTTGAGTTTCTTGTGAGCGGGCAGTTCAAATTCCTCGTAACCAATGTGAAATGAAAACGTTAATATCTTTGTTAGGAGTAGGTTTCCGTAATTTTCGTAGTGTGAATCGTTTTCTACGTGAAATTCTGGTCTAGAAACATGTATCAGATCGCTTAAATTCGTACCTTGTCTAGTGGTCCATTGCGATTATTTCGGATCGTGACGTTTCACGTCAGGCCCCGGTTATTGAGTCACCGCATGGCTTTATTTTAAACCTTGGTGTCCTCCCGGCGTCCTCAGAGTGGCCGGCAGTCGGGTCAATTAAGCACTCGGCTGTCGATTAACTCACCATCGCGAAGAGACCGTTTTTCGCTAATTGCACGAGGCTGGCGTCCCATTGTCGGCTGTGTTTGTTTCACTTTCCGATTACGCAATTTGAAAAACTAGGCAACGTCCTTGCTGAGTTTTTAGGCTACACTGAAAAAAAAAATGCCACGGGCCTTTTAAACATACCGTCCGTTCCGGGCTCAGAGACTGGAAGTTCCGAGTGCTGGAGCCGTAATTTCTACTACTCTGGGTGCTACGCCTCACATTGGTTCCAGAGCCAGATCTAGGCGGCATTAATTAGAGTATCACCTTTGTTGGCATGCAATACATGTTTTTATATGTTTTTTGGGTCGCTGATCACGAATCTGAAGTCAGTTTTACTCCATCGTTAACTAAAACATGGTAAATTTGCGAAAAATAGCAAATTCACGCTCAAATGCCGGAATAATTATTTGACAATTTGGCTTAGAGCTTGAGCTGTAATACATTTGACTCATTTAATGATTAATCATCCAAAACGACCAACGATTTTACTATTCTTCATTTTTGGATAATTATTTCAGAAGGGAGGAAGGGGGGGTTGCCACGTTGAGTAACTGAACGAAGTATACCTGCATGCAATTGACACGATCTGTTTTCGGAATCTACTTCCATAATTTTGAGGTATAAGAAATGGCAGGATGAAAATAAAGTAAACATCGTCCTAATAATACTATTGGACAGGGAGAAAAGGCATTGAACGTGTCGGACACGGGTCCGTTGTTTTTTTAAATTAAAGAGGTTGTAATGTATTTTGTATTTTTTTTTTTTTTTTTGAAGTACCTACGAATAATCGAGAAGAGCAAGAGTCAGTTTTCGTCCAAAATTCAAGAAATATATTCAAATTTAAACTTCATGTATATTAAAATGTACAGCAACTAAATCGCATATAAATTTGATGAATAATTAACATCATGAACACATTTAGCAATCAAAATAAGTCACACAAAATTACATTGAAAGAAAAATTTCACTGGCTACGAGAGGAGGTGAATATTCTTGCGGGTAATGATCACATTTTATAGATTCAGACAATGGTATGCCAAAAAAAGTAGGTAAAAGTCGCAGCTTTTGTTATTTTACTGAATTAATTAGGAGTTTTGAACTTGTGATGTCTGGTTGGAGGCTCTCAAACCTGTAACAACAAGAAAGAACAAAGAAATCATGATGAGAAAAAGAAATGAAGTCTTTGCTGAATAATAATATGGAAAAACCCTTACTTCCGGGCATCTATACTATAAGCTCCAAGACCTCCTAATTTTGTGAAACTGGTGACGCTTAGTTCCAGCGTTCTACCGGGCCGATTTTCATGATTTTTGCGGCTATCGACGGGCAATTGTCTCTAGATAAGCCAACTCTTTTCAGATTTTCAAAA